ATCATATCAAGAAAGTCACTGAGTCTAAATTTCCTGTCAAATTGCTCCAGTCAATTTGTCTAAAGTTGAAATCTCCCATTAGCACAACATTTTCATATGTAGATGCCTTACGAATTTCGTCCCATAGAAGTTTACTGCACTCCCTATCAATATTTGGGGCCCTGTAAATCACACCCAAGATTGGTTTTTCACGGCCCTCGAGAAGCTGTAACCAAACAGATTCAGTGGCTGACGCTTCTAATTTTATATCCTGTCTAACACAATTTAAAGTGTCTCTGACATACATCGCTACTCCACCACCCTTCCTGTTGTCCCTATCAGTGTGGAATAATTTACAGCCTTGTATGTGACATTCAGAAGGCATCTATTTATCAGATTGAGCCAGGGCTCTGTTATAGCAATAATACCTATGTTTCCTGCACTGGCAATTAATCTTAGCTCATCTATCTTATTTCTTACACTCCTGCTATTAGCATAGTAAACCATAAAGGAGCTAGCCTCTTGCTGCCCTCTGCTGTCTCCCTTTGTTTGCTGACCTGATCCATTGTCTTTACTTATAATTTCATGATGAATGTCTTTTATACATTTACTGTCTTCAACCCTAGTGTTGCAACCTGCCTGTTTCCCAAACACACCCATACCTCTATCTTCTATCAGTTTAAAATCCTAGGTATGTCAGCAATGGCCCTCTCGATCGAGTTCACAAGTGCTACCACCCCTGCCCCAGAGAATGCACCCCATCCCTTGCATACATATCATGTTTCCTATAAAAGCTGTCCCAGTTGTCAATGAATGGGATTGCAAGTTCCTTGCAGTATCTGTCTAGCCAGCAATTTACACCAATTGCCCTAGACATCCATTCACTGCCCACTCCCTTTCTAGGCAAGATGCTACATATGATTGGGATCCCTCCCTTAGATCTGACTACTTCTATGGCTGACCTGTACTTATCCAGTAGCTCCTGTCTCCTGCCCTTCCCAATGTCATTACCCCCAGCACTAAGATAATGGGCTTGTTCCCATTACCTGACATATCATCCAACCTGCTGACTATGTCACCAACACCAGCTCCTGGGAGGCACACCCTCTGTCTGACCTTCCTCTATCTGTTACAAAAAGCATGGTCCATATATCTTACCTGAGCATCTCCTACAATTAGAATATTCTTACCTTGATTAGCAGGGGAGTCAGTGATACATTTAACCTCACTAACCGCTGAAGTACATTCATCCTGGAGAACAGAGAATCGATTTCCTACCTTCACATCTTCATGAAAAGATGCAGGATGAGTGCTTTGTAACAAAGGTTGCCTACTTGGCAGATTTCTTCTCTGAAGTGAACTCTCTGAATATTTCACTCTAAGGAAACCTTACAATGCTGCACACAGCTCGTGACAAAGTGGCAATGTTCACTTGTAAGGTTCAACTTTACCAGAAAAGAGTCGAGGACTTTACGAACTTTACCAGAAAAGAGATGAGGATGGTGTGATGGATATGTGCAGCAGTGGGCCTCCATCAGCAACAGCGTGGTTGACCAGGCAAGCACCAGACGAGCCTGGCTCATAGCTGGGCTCAGAGAGTAGAGTAACTCTCGAAACTCTTCAAAAGCATATCAATGATGACACAACTTCACTCAGATGATGACTCTCCTGGATTCTATGCCAGATGCTGAATGCAGCTTCTGTGAGGAGTTCTCAGCTCATCTTCTGGCAGTGAATGACGCCATCGAAAGTTTGTTTCCAGGACTGAACGACCACTGTACTGATGCGTGGATCTACAGACCCTTTTCAGTCGAGGACAGTGCCATCAGTGATACTGATGTTGCTAAGGTAGAATTTCTTCAAATTTGTGAGGATTCTCAGCTGAGAGTCGACTTCACTGAAAAAGAGCTCCCGACATTTTGGGCAAAAGTGCAGGACTGTCTGGCTGATCCAGTCCCCATCAACCTATCGCTGCGAGGTTGAGTTCTCAGCAATGTTAACACTAAAAATGAAGGCAAGCAATAGGCTTGTGATCGATGCTGACATGAGGTGTTGCCTGCCAAACACAGTTCCTCGCTTTGATAGACTTACAGCTGAAAAACAATTTCAATCCTCCCACTGAGTGAATGAGAAGTAGGTTTAGTATGATGTTCAATAGTTCTGTGGAATTTGCCATGTTCTGGCATTTGTAGAAGCTATGTGGAACTTTTCAAGGTTTTTGTTCTGTGGCATTTTCAATAAATCATGGTCTTCCTATCATTCTGTTTTATCTTACCTTTTCACATGGTTCACCATTTCAAAATTTATTATAGGAGTCACGGTAATGCCCTAAAGAGTCTCAGGGGGGGTCATAGGATGAAAAAGGTTAAGAACCACTGGCCTAGAGAGATAGGAGAGAGCCTAGAGAGAACCTAGAGACAAATGAGGCTAGGTTTCCTAAAGAGTATTTTGAGGGTGTGACCCTGCAGAGCAGTCTCAGACCATTCCTCCTGCTTGATGGTCTGCTCAATCAGGCTGTTGGTGCTGGGTGCACACATTGCAATATATGCACCACAGCCCAGTTTATCAGGAACGGACTACAGGTCCTTATTATGTTCCTTTCTGAAGATAATTAGTAAGTCTACTTATATATGAAAAGAGGATGTTGAAGTCTCGGATGCTTACACTTACTAAGTTCTCTCTCAGTGTACATATTTCACCCCTGCTTCCATTCGAGATATTTTGCACCATATGTCGAGACTCTTGCTTTTGTAAGAATGTATATCTGCCACAGATTTAGGACCAATCTCTTCAGTGTTTTTCAGGGTGTAAATTATGATGTACTATTCTTGCCTACATTCCAAGCAGTGCAATTCATGGGACTTTAAGGGTTTCTTGTAGTTTAGGTATTTGAATTTACAGGGGCAGTGAAGGTTCTTGGTACAATCTCCAGACATGGAATTTTGCCTGCCTTGAAAGAGGCCATCAGTGTAAAATAATATTACAGTCCAGGGAGAATAAATGACATGAATCATCTTTGGCTTGGCATCATTTCTTTTAAAGGATTAAGTTATACAACCTATTATTTTCCCAGCGGCTGTAATAATATTAAGTTATACCATTATTATACCTTTGATAAGTCCATCACATTAGTATTCTGCTCCATTCAGCAGTTTGAGTTCTTGGACTTCGCTCCAGTTTTCATTTTCTCAAATCTTCCCCAGTAGAGTGATCTGATACTTGAAAGATACCTGAAGAATGCTTCCAGGGGTCAATGTCTCCGCAGTCCAGCCCCAGATCAGTCCTCCTGGAGGATCAAGGCCCAATCAACCAGCCTGTTATTGCTGGTCTCACTCAATTTAACCCTTAAACGGTCCAAAGAGATCAACGTTCAAATTCGTAGTGCTACAAAAGTAGATCTACTTTTTTTTACATATTTTCAAATATAACAAAAAAAATGTAGATAAAAGTTTTTTTTACACGTTTTTCAAATGTAAAACAAAAAAGAAGATCTACATTTTTTTACATACTTTCAGATGTTGAAAAAACGTATATATACATTTGGACCATTTAAGGGTTAACCACAGACTGACTGATCAGGCACTGATTTAAGGAACTTGCCCAGTAATTCCCTGGGTGCATGGAGGGAGGTATTGAAAAACCAGGGATCTCTGATACTCATCGAGCTCTCTCTTAGTACACTAATCGCACCCCTGCTTTTTAGTGGAAGCATTTTGCACCGTCTGCCAAGTCTCTTGCTGTCACACTGACTGATTTCGGTGTTCAAGTTTGGGACCAGTTCCTCCAGGATTTTCCAGGTAAAAATTATTATGCACTTTCTCGTCAACATTCCAACAAATACAGCTGAAGGGACTTCAGGCAGTCTAAGTAATCCAAATGCATGACTGAGTGTATGCAAGCAGTGAGAGTTCTTTATACGTTTTCCAGATCAGTAATCCCGCCTGCCTTGAAGGGGGTTCTTAGAATACACTAGTATTCCTGTCTGCAGTGAACAAGTGACAAGAGTATCATCAATGGCTTGGCATCTCTTGTCTTGAAAGTTCTAGTTATCCAGCCTATCATTTTCCTTGCGGCAGCAAGGGCAACATTATTGTGATCCTTCAATGTGAGATCTTCCACCATCGTTATTTATAGTCTCGCACATGGGACTTTCGTTCTAATGAATTATTTGACTTTGTCCTGTACTCCATTTATTTCCTCCATTCTTTCATAATGGAGCAACTGAAACTTGCCCTCATTAAACATTATGTGGTTGTCTATGCCACTGGAAGACTACTTTCGTTCAACTAAAGATTCGCTGTTTCTTCGACAGATCCCACTCTCACGGAGATTCTGGTGCCATCGGGAAAGGATTTAAAGGTGCTGTGCTATGATTTATGTCCTTGTCAATGTCGGATATAAGAATGAGGAACAGAAGTGGGCAGAGTACCGCACCTTGAAGAACAAAGCTTTTCACTGTGCCAGCCTCTGGCTTCACTCTTTTGACTACTACTCTCTGGGTTCTATTTGTTAAGTTAAATATCCATCTGTCCCTTTCCCAGTTATTCCTTTTGCACGAATTTTGTGCGCAGTCACACAGTGTTCACACTTGTCGAATAATTTTGTAAAGCGTGAACTACATCAGCACTCTGTCTTCCAGCTGAAATATCCTCATTGAACATCTTATTGTCAGTTGGCCATTGGAACGCTTAATGTGTGTCGACACGGAGATTTGCTGCGTCCTCAGTAGATCCCATTCTCAAAGAAGAGGCTAGTGAGCCATGTGATAATCTAGAGATACGGGAGGGAATCTAGAGATACAGGTGAGAATCTGGAGATACAGGTGAGAATCTAGAGATACAGGTGAGAATCTAGGGACAGGTGAGAGGCTAGAGAAAGGGAGAGGTGGGAGGCAAGATATACACAGGGGGGAAAGTAGAAACATGGGAGGGTAGACACACAATAGAGGTAGACACACGATAGAGGGCAGACAAACATACACACATGATGGAGAGTAAACACAGGTAGAAGGATCAACATACCTCGTTCCAGACCACCTCCATACCCTCGTCGGTGTCCATGGCGAGGTAGGCAGCGTCGATGCCCGGCACATCCCGCTGTTGCACCTGCAACACATACACTACATCAGTTTGTTATCAAAACAAAACACTTTAGTCATACGCTCGTAATTCAATGCTTAAGCAACACGCTTATAACACAATACCTAAATATCATGCACATGACATTTTAGGCACACACTTATCATAACACACTGCTACAATATCAAAGTCATCATATGCCAACACAACAAAACTGTAGCTAAAAACCACCATAAATTCTCTACAACCTACACACTCATCATCTATAAATAAATGACCTAGATTCTGTGTCTATACGAAATGTAATATCTCGAGACTGGGTATCCAGTTCTATACAAGTCAGAAGTGCTTATTTCCCGATAAGACCCTCTCAGGGATATAGCAGAGGCTTTGTATGAAGACTTGGATACCTGAAGGATATCTGAAAAATGTTTCTGGGTGGCAATGCCCCAGCAGTACGGTCCCAAACCAGGCCTCCTGGAGGATCTAGGCCTTAGCAAGCAGGCTGTTACTGCAGGCCGCAAGCAGATCCAGTGTACGAACCACAGCCAAGCTGAACAGGCACTGATATGAGGAACGTGTCCAGTTCCCTCTTGAAGAATGCAAAAGGCTTACTGGTAATTCCCCCACATGCATTGAGGGAAAGTGTTAATGAGTCAGAAATCTCTAACACTGAACTTTTCTCAGTGTACTCGTTGAGTCCTGCATTTTAGTGGAAGTATTTTACACCATCTGCCAAGTCTTATGTTGTCAAATGGAGTGATTTGGGTGTTCAGGATTGGGACCAGTCCCTTGACAAGTTTCATGTGCACATATTTTCAGTAGTTCAGATGCTTAATTGTTTATGAGCAGAGAACGTTCTGTACATTTTCCATCTTAGCAATCTCGCCTGCCTTGATACAGTATACAGCAATATACAGTACGCAGCAGTACACCAGCCTGGAGAGAACAAGTGACTTTGTCAGCATAGTTGCTGATCTCCTACATGTGTTGTATAGCTTATCTGAGTATCATAGTTAGTACCATCCATATGTTTTACATACATGACCCCTTGCTAGGCTCAGTGACTAGCTTGTGTAACGTCACGTGAGGCCGTTGTGAGCGCTGCGCTCCTGGTCTCATTCTCAGTTCTCGTTAGACCTACCAGGCAGCAACAGGCAGGCTGGGCCCGCCTTTCACACTCTGCTAATGTAAGTGTTACCATCCAACAAGTGTGTTTAACTCCAACCATCACATCTCCACAAACCCTCACAACAACTTGAGTATCATAACTGGCTCAGTATCTCCTGTCTTGAAAGTTCTAGTTATCCAGTTATTTCCTTGTTATAGCACTGGCAACATAGTTGTGATCCTTGAATGTGGAATTTCTGACATCGTTACTCCTAAGTCTCGCACATGTGACTTTCGGTCTACTGCATGATTTGAGTTTGTTTTATACTCCATTACAAACTTTATTTCCTCCTCCTTCCATAGCGGAGAAACTGAAACTTGTCCTCGTTAAACATCATATTGATGTCTAAGGTCCACTGGAAGACATGATTTATATCCGCCTGAAGATTCATCGTCTCTTCAACAGATGCCACTTTCACAGATTCTGGTGTTATGATCGATGTCCTTGTCAACGTCAGATATAAGAATGAGAAACAATAATAGGAAGAGTATCGTGCCTTGAGGAACGGAGCTTTTCACAGATTCTGTCGGGGACAGAGCTGAGGCTACGTGAGAGGTCTTGTAAACCCAGGAGCTAAAGTGTACATACGCTTTGTGGAAGATACACTCTGTATTAGCTATTGTTGGACTCTGGTTTATACTAGAAACCAGAAGTCACCTTGATAAACTTGGAAGAGTTACCCACCATTGTGTCACTGACTGTAGTGCTGCCTAATGCCCTGGCATATGACCAGTTGCAGTTGGTGCCTTGTGACCATCCAGCTTGAGATTTTGTTGTGAGGAGACATCCAGTCGAGTCACCTACCAAACCTTCGATATACCTCTGATTAGTTCTGAGTTCTGTTCTCAGAGCCTGGTCCCGGGCCAGGCTTCTCTGGTGCTAGCCTGGTCAACCAGGCTGTTGCTGATGCCAGCCCATTGGCCCACATATCCATCACAGCCTCGTTGATTTGATAAGATGTTGAACAATCTGGGGCCACGAATGTTCTCATATTGTGCCCACTGTGCCTCTGCTGTTTATTGTACTTTCTTCCCATATCTCTCACTCCAGTATATTATGGCAGTATACTTTCCACTACAATATTATCATGTATCTCTCCCTCCTCCGTTCTAGTGAGTACACACTAAAGACTAAGACATTCCCAGCAATTAGGTGCTTTATTGTCCACGCGGGCTGCAAATTATCTCTGTCTGTTCCAGCTTCAATATTTCTCCCGCCTTCACTGGAGGCGTCAACACTGAACAATACTCTAAAACGAGAGGAAACAGTTGATTTGAATAGTGTCTCCATTGGCACAATTTCCCTCTTTTTATAAGTTCTCATTATCCGCCTCATCATCTTCATAGCTGTTTTGATATTTGCCTTATTGCATTCTTTGAAAGAATGATCAGCCAGCATGATTATTTCCAGGTCTTTCAAGTGTTCCTTTCATGCTATTTGTCCCTTTTGATTTCTTCATTCTTTCCATACCTAAGCAGTTGGAACTTATCACTAATGAACATCATGTTGTTCTCCATTTCCCACTGGAAAATCCTGCATATATCTTCCTGCATTTTTCCGTGTCTTTTGCCATAATTACGTTCATGCTTATTTTGGTGTCATCTGCAAATGATACAAGACTATGGCGAGTGTTTTTTCCCATGCCAGCTATGAGAATAAACAGAAGAGGCGCCAGGACTGTAATGAGCTTTTTACCTCGATAATGCCATCAGAAAGTTGAAAAACCATCTGCCTACCTTACCGGTTATACCTATAGCCCTCATTTTATGTGCAGTCACCCAGTGATCATAATTGTGAAACACCTTTGCAAAGTCTATACCACATCTGTTTTGGTTTTCTTCCATCACCTCCGTAATTCCTGGCATTGCGGTTTAGCATTTGTGACAGGCATGATCGCCAAGTTCTAAAACTATGCTGGTTTGGATTGTGCAGGTTGTGTTCCATAAAATTTGTAATTTGACTTGGCATCATTCTTTCGGAGATTTTTATGATGTGGGATGTCATTTTGGATAGCGCTCTACTGCCTAGCGCTCTAATGTCTGTCTTATGCAAAGGAGCTACATCTGGATTATTTAACATATCTACTATTTCACCAATTCCCAAAGCCAGCCATATAAGGAGCTGTTATCTAGGTGCTGCACCCACCGTCACCCCTGCTGTTGCTGCACCAACAGTCACCCATGTTGCTGCTGCACCCACCGTCACCCCTGCTGCTGCTGCACCCACCGTCACCCCTGCTGCTGCTGCACCCACCATCACACCTGCTGTTGCTGCACCTACAGTCACTCCTGCTGCTGCTGCACCCATCGTCACCCCTGCTGTTGCTGCTGCTGCACCAACAGTCACCCATGTTGCTGCTGCACCCACCGTCACCCCTGCTGCTGCTGCACCCACCATCACACCTGCTGTTGCTGCACCTACAGTCACTCCTGCTGCTGCTGCACCCATCGTCACCCCTGCTGTTGCTGCTGCTGCACCAACAGTCACCCATGTTGCTGCTGCAACCACTGTCACCCCTGCTACTGCTGCACCTACCCTCACCCCTGCTGTTGCTGCTGCTGCACCCACCGTCACCACTGCTGTTGATGCTGCACCCACAGTCACCCCTGCTACTGCTGCTGCTGCTGCACCCACCGTCACCCCTGCTGTTGCACCCACAGTCGCCCATGTTGCTGCTGCTGCACCCACCGTCACCACTGCTGTTGCTGCTGCTGCACCCACAGTCACCCTTGCTGTTGCTGCTGCTGCACCCACAGTCACCCCTGCTACTGCTGCTGCTGCACCCACCGTCACCCCTGCTGCTGCTGCACCCACCGTCACCCCTGCTGCTGCAGCCACCGTCACCCCTGCTGCTGCACCCACCGTCACCCCTGCTGCTGCACCCACCGTCACCCCTACTGCTGCTGCTGCACCCACCGTCACCCCTGCTGCTGCTGCTGCACCCACCGTCACCCCTGCTGCTGCTGCACCCACCATCATCCCTGCTGTTGCTGCTGCTGTACCAACAGTCACCCATGTTGCTGCTGCACCCACCGTCACCTCTGCTACTGCTGCACCCATCACCCCTGCTGTTGCTGCTGCTGCACCCACAGTCTCTCCTGCTGCTGCTGCACCCACCGTCACCCCTGCTGTTGCTGCACCAACAGTCACCCATGTTGCTGCTGCACCCACCGTCACCCCTGCTACTGCTGCACCGTCACCCCTGCTGTTGCTGCTGCTGCACCCACAGTCACCCCTGCTGCTGCTGCACCCACCATCACCCCTGCTGCTGCTGCACCCACCATCACCCCTGCTGTTGCTGCAACCACCGTCACCCCCTGCTACTGCTGCACCCACCGTCACCCCTGCTGTTGCTGCTGCTGCACCCACTGTCACCCCTGCTGTTGCTGCTGCTGCACCCACCATCACCCCTGCTGTTGCTGCTGCTGCACCCACCGTCACCCCTGCTGTTGCTGCTGCGGCACCCACAGTCACCCATGTTGCTGCTGCTGCACCCACAGTCACCCCTGTTGCTGCCGCACCCACCGTCACCCCTGCTGTTGCTGCTGCACCAACAGTCACACATGTTGCTGCTGCAACCACCGTCACCGCTGCTACTGCTGCACCGTCACCCCTGCTGTTGCTGCACCCACCGTCACCCCTGCTGTTGCTGCTGCTGCACCCACAGTCACCCATGTTGCTGCTGCTGCACCCATAGTCACCCCTGCTACTGCTGCACCCACCGTCACCCCTGGTACTGCTGCACCCACCGTCACCCCTGCTGTTGCTGCACCCACAGTCACCTCTGCTACTGCCGCTGCTGCACCCACCGTCACCCCTGCTGTTGCTTCTGCTGCACCAACAGTCACCCATGTTG